CTGCCTCCCGAGTGCTGGGATTAAATGCGAACGCCACCACCGCCTGGCAATTATTTAATTTTATTTTATGTGCACTGGTGTGAGGGTGTCAGATTCCCTGGAACTGAGTTACGCACAGGTAGGAGCTGCCATGTGGGTGCTGGGAATTGAACCTGGGTCCTCTGGAACAGCAGCCAGTGCTCTTAACCACTTAGCCATCTCTCCAGCCCCCCTTTTTTAAAATATTGAAATATATAGCCCAAAGGATACATGGTATGTATACATAGATGATAGGTTGACTAAAGAGTCACCTATGAATCTGACACTGAAGATCATGAGCATGACCAGTGCTCTAAATGTTTGTTCCCTGCCTTCCGCGGGGTAACCACTGAATCTGCTCCATAATCTTTTGCTTTTCTTTATATTTTTTTTCTTTTTTTCTCTATATTTTTCACACAGATTCCAAAACAATAAATTTTTCTACTTAGCTCTTTTCATAATTTAACAGAAATGCATTTATTCTATAATTTATTATGTTTCTAAGCATAATTTATTATGCTTTGTCCATGTAGTATATAGTTCATTCATTTGAAACATGCATGGCATAAAATGTACCACAATTTATCTACCTGTTCAAGGGTATTAGGATTCTTTATTGACTTTTAGTTTGATCAATATTGCTAAGAACATCCTGAATCTTTAGCGTTTTTTTTTTTTGGAGCCCATGGATAAGAATTGTTTCTCGGCCGGGCGGTGGTGGCGCACGCCTTTAATCCCAGCACTCGGGAGGCAGAGGCAGGCGGATCTCTGTGAGTTCGAGGCCAGCCTGGTCTCCAAAGCGAGTTCCAGGAAAGGCGCAAAGCTACACAGAGAAACCCTGTCTCGAAAAACCAAAAAAAAAAAAAAAAAAAAGAATTGTTTCTCTGCACTTTGCACAGCCTTGGTGCAGGGAGGAGGGGCTTGAACCTGCCTCAACTGATGTACCAGCTGACTCCCCATGGAAGACCTTGCCTTGAAGTAGGTGGGAATGGGGGGTAGGTTAGGGGGAAGGCTGGGGGACAGGAGGACAGGGGAATCTGTGGTTGGTATGTAAAATGAATAGAAAATCTCTTAATAATAATAAAAAATAAAAAATAAATTTCTCAGTAAGGATCTGCCAGATTCCTGAACAGAAGCAATAGAGAAAGGACACTGTACCTCTCTAAGTTCTAATAAAGGAAGTATGGTTTCTCAAAAAAAAAAATTGTTTCTCTGGTATATATACCCGGGAATAAAATTATGGGGTCCAATTACTTTTCAGAGCTGGTGGATCAATTTATGCCCCCACCAGTGTTCCTGTCTCAACACATACTCCTGAAGTCTTGATGTTCTCCCAACTTCCATCAGCATTCCTGACTTTGGGTATCTCTGCTGGTGACCGTAGGGAAGCTTTCATCTTTCTCAGCCAGAGCCATGCCCTCTTAAATGCCCCAGTGAATCTCCAGAGGTGTTCTTCTGTACCCCTGTAGCCCTAATTGAACACTCTGAGCACCAGGGAGGGGAGGAAATGTCAGTCATGACGGTCTTTTCATGTGTCCATCAGAACCTCAGGACCCTCCTGCGCATTTGTTTCTTGTGCTCCACCCCAAAGTGCAGCCTAAAAGCCTTGTCTCCTGAGGTGACTGAAGGTACCTAACAATTTTCTCATCACCCCCACAATAGCCTTTCCTGCTTCTCAGGTCAACACAGTTGCCTCTACTCTGTGGTCCACATGACAGGACCAGTTACATCAGAGAATGTACCTCTGTCAGAATCTGATAGGGTTCTGCAGACAAAGTACGTTCTCACTGACTCAGACTCTCAGGGCTGCTGTCCGGGAGCTTTCTGCATAATGAGTTCCCCAGGTGACAGGCACGTTCCAATTGGGGAGCTGCTGCTCTGGGGACTGCTAGAACAGAGGTGAGGCCAAGGTCATCTCCAGGCAGCTTCAGCCACCCTCCCAACAGCTCTTCCAAGAAGATGCGGCATCTTCCATTCTCTTTTGCTCTTTCCCTACTTCTACTGCCTCTCACAGGGTAGAAGAGAGACTGAGAAGAGCTGCCTGCCAATAGGGCCTGGCCAGCTACAGAGTGGTATAGTTTTCTAATGGAATACTATTTTTCTTTGTAAAAAAAAAAATTATTTTAGGGCCTGGAGAGATTCAGTACTTAAGAGCACTGGCTGCTTTTCTAGAGGATCCAGGTTCAATTTTCAGCACCCAAATGGCAGTTCACAACTGTCTCTAACACCAGTTCCAAGGGGATCCCACACCCTCTTCTGGCCTCCATGGACATTGCATGCATGTGGTGCACAGACAAACGCAACCAAAACACCATGCATACAAAAATAATAAAGTGCTCAAAATATTTTTTAAAAAGTTATCTTACAGCCCGTTGTGGTGGTTTAACCTTGAGGCCAGCCTGCTCTACAAAGCAACTTCCAGGACTGTCAGGGCTACACAGAGAAACCCTGTCTTGAACTCCCTGCCCACCAAAACAACAACAACAACAACAACAACAAAAAACCAAAAAAAACAACAAAAAACCAAAAAACAAAAAGTTATCTTATTTGTTTTCATCTTATGTGTATAGGTATTTTGGCTGCATTTTTTTTTTTTTTTTGAGAGAGCGTTTCTCTGTGTAACAGTCCTGGCCACTGCCTGGCTGACTGCTTGTATTTCTGTGTGCCACTTGTGGGCCTGTGGAGGAGCCAGAGACATTGGATCCCCTGGAATTGGAGTTACAGATCTTGTGAGCTGCCCTATGGGTGCTCGAAAATGAACTTGGGTCCTCTGGAAGAGCAGACAGCGTTCTTAACTGCTGAGCCATCTCCCCAGCTCTGCTTTTCTAAAAGATGTATTTTACTTTTAATTTTGTCTGTGTTTCTGTGTTCTGGGACATGCACGAGTGTAGTGTCTGAAGAGGCAAGAAGATGATGTCAGCCACCCTGGAACTGGAGTTACAGGCTGTTGTGAGCTACCTACCCACATCCACAAATCTACCAATAAAATTGTTTGAAAATCTTCAATAATGAAAATGTTTTTATCTTTAAAAAATTAACTTGTGGCTGGGCATGGCAGTGCACTCCTTTAACCCCAGCATTCAGGAGGCAGAAGCAGATCTCTGTGAGTTCGAGGCCAACCTGGTCTACAAAGCCAGCTCCAGGACAGCCAGGGCTGTTACACAGAGAAACCCTGTCTCAAAAACAACAACAAAAATAAATAATTTTTTTTTTACCTTGTATGAGTGTATGGTATGTGTGTGTGTGTATACACGTGTGGAAGCCAGAAGAGACCGCTATCACTGTCTCCCTATTCCTTTAAGGCAAAGTCTCTCTCTGAGCGTGAGGGTCATGTTTTCTTAACTAGGCTGGAAGCCAGCAAGCCCCGGTATCCCTTGCTTGTTATGCGGACGGTAGGGTCCAAGTTCTGGACTTTTTGATTGTGCATCAAATGTTAAGTGCCAAGCCATCTCTGCAGCCCACATTTTATAGCTGTGACATGATATGATATGATTATATATGGTGTTAGTGTACACAGGCCTTTTGTACTCTATCACTGACCTAAAATGGTATACTGTTCTTTGGCTTTTTGAACAGGGTCTCATGTAGACTGGGCTGGCCTTGAACTTGGTATGCATTATAGGATGAACTCATTTTCTAGCTTCAATATCCCGAAGGCTGGATTTACAGGCCTAGGACACATACTCAGGGTTAGAGATAAACGAAGAATTGAGGGTGGAACAATTGAGGGGGCTATTCACAAAGCTAATAGAAAATTAAGTAGCCAAGGTCAAAGTGGTCTAGTTGGTCATGATCTCAGTTTGATTCTGCAAGGGGGCTCAAAGTCTTTATTGCTTGAGGGAAGCAATTGGGCTCCCTTAAGACAATTATTCCTGCTGCAGCATAAAGCTTTATCTATGCAGATAATTGCCCCTAGCATATGTAGAGGAGGGAGTCTTGTCCTTTGAGGCCTAGCACTGCTTCATAAAAGTATTTATTGATCAGTCCTGCTGTTCCAGGAACGCAATACAAAACTGACGGTTTATGTCAGCTGAAGCATCTTTTGGGCAGTTTTGAACAGAACATTGTAAAAGTTGACAATCAAATGCCTAAAGGTGATAGATACAAAATGAAGACAAGATGCCAGGATTTTATCCTTTTACTTTCTGAGTCCAAAGAGGACCCAGTGCTTTTTAGCCAAAGGAGTTGCCTTTTAAAAAAGGGTTTATTTTTATGTGTTTGCTTGCATGTTTGTGCACCACATACAGGCCTCATGCCTCCAGAGGGCACTAGGGACTTGAGTTGTAACTGGTTTTGAGTCACTATGAGGGTGCTGGGAATCGAACCTGGGTCTTTTGTTAGAACAGCCAGTGTTCTTAACTGCAGGGCCATCTCTCCGCCCCCCACCCCACCCCAAAGCTGTTTCTAAGTGTCAGTTATTACTATGATTTTGCCCATCTCACAGGTGTATCTGTAACTACTCAATGTGTCATCACAGAGACTTGCCGTACAATAAGTATTAATTGTCACCAAACCCAAGATTCTCCTTTTCTAGCCCTCCTTTTCCCCGCCCAAGCCTAGAGAGTATGATTTATTAAGCCTGGAGCGAGATGAAGAAAACTACTTATAAAAAAAAGTTTCCAGTTAGCTGGGATCACACCTGTAATCCCAGCACTGAGTCAGGAAGGCCATGGCAGGAGGATGGTCCCGAGTTCGCGGCCAGTCTGGATTCCACAGCCAGCCTGGACAACAGTCGAGCTCCGTCTTAACCAAAACTAAACGAGAAGCAACCAAACAACAACAACAAAAAAAGGCCAAGCTGTCCAGCAGACTGGTGAGCACGCCTTCCCGATGGGTCACCGAAAAGGACTCGGCTTACGACCACGCCCCCACGTTCCGGTGAAAACGGGCACCATACCCCAGGTATCGCGACAGTTCCTTTTTCCTTCAGCCTAGACCATAGGTCTCGCGAGAGTGGCTTGTCCAATCACGGCGCGGAGTGGCTTCACAAGATGGCGGCGCGCTGAGAGCGTAGCATCTGCGTTTCTAGGCGCTTGGCTGTGTGAGTGGGTTAGGATCCTGGGCTTGTGCAGGCCCCAGCCGTATACGCCGTCCGGCTGCTACATTGGCCTACGAGGTACGTGGTTCACACATCTCTTATCCGGTTGTGCTCATGAGTCGCTTAAGCAGCGGCTCACCGGCTTTTATCCTCTGGTTCTCGGCTCCTCAGGGGACCCGGGGCGGGTGTGTGAGGGCGGTAGGGTGGGTAGGTGGGAGGAGTTGAAGGAGAGACCCCCCTTTCCCCCCACGAGCCTAGGCTGATGTTTAGAGAGCGCTGAAACCCAGGCGGGAAGAAGGCGTGGGTGAGCCAGCGAAGTGGCAGGACTCGAGTAAAAGTCAAATTTGTAACGGGGGGCATGGGCAGAAAACGAAGGTGTCGGGGTCGTGGTGGGAGGCCTCTGTTGAGTTTGTTGTTCTTTTTAAAAACACGTGTTCATTTGTTTTTACTGTATATGGATGGATGTTTTGCTTGCACGTTATGTCCGCACCATGTGCACAGTGCCGACCGAGGCCAGAAGAGGATGATTCCATGGGACTGAGTTACACATGGTTGTGAGCTGCCATGTGGGTGCTGAGAATCGAACCCAGGCCCTTTGGAAGGGCAACCAGTGCTCTTAACCATTGATCCATCTGTACAGCCCCCAGAGTTTGATGTTCTAAAAGCCAAATTTAGACTATCCTATAGGCTGTGCACTAGAAGAAACGGTATTTGAAGAGGTAAAAGTCAAGAGGAACCAAGAAACATGGAGTGTTGAAGATGAAGAAGGCTACCTTCAAGATCTTTGGTTTTTGGACTCACTCAGATGAGCCTTTTGTTGTTGTTGAGACTCAACTGGGCTGCCCATTTAGAAAGAGAATGTTATGTTTCAGTGGCTCATACAGTGGAAAGTATTTCATAGTCATTTGCTTCATGGTGTTGATGACTGAACCTAGTGCCTTGCGTGTGCTAGGCAAATGGTCTTTCACTTTGAGCTACATCTCTAGGCGACTTCATATTCTTCCCAGTCAACAAATAGTACAGCACCTATTCTCACAGATCCTGGTCATGTCTGTCCCCCGAATCCCCCCGGCCCCCAGACAGAGTTTCTCTGAAGCTTTGGTACCTGTCCTGGATCTTGCTCTGTAGACCAGGCTGGCCTCGAACTCACAGAGATCCTCCTGTCTCTGCCTCCTGAGTGCTGGGATTAAAGGCGTGCGCCACCATTGCCACCGGGCTCAGATCCTCTTTTAAGCACTGAGGTACCTCAGTGAACAAAGTTTTTCCTCATGGAGTTTACTTGTAGGGAAAAATTTAAAAACTAAAGCAAACATTTATGAATTGTCACGTAAGTAAACTCAAAAGACAGGAGTTAGGAACGTGATAGTGTGTGTTCAAGTCACTGGATGTTTTAGTAAGGTGCTCAGGAAAGATACTAATGAGGTGACATTTGACCAAAGCCCAAACAAGGTGGGGATATGTTCAGTGTATGTACATTTCAGTGGGGAGAGCAAACCATGACAGTTGAATAGCAGCAAGTGCAAGTTCAGTATGATGGTGCACTCTGGAATCACAGCACTTAGGAGGATAAGGAATTTATGACTAGCCTTGGGTATATAGTGAGTTCCTAGCCAGCCTGAGCTACTGGAGACCTTGCCTAAGAGCAACAAAGGCAATCAAAAGACAAATACAAATGGATAGCCCTAAGGCATGAGTGTGCCTGGCTTGTTCGGAAATGGCTAATAGTTCAGTGTGGCAGGAACAGAGTAAACTGGGTGAGAAGTGATAATACTGGTGCTAGGTAAGAGCTGATACCCAGTTGACTTTGAGGAGTGGTATAGATAGCTAGCTAGAAATCCAGAAGTTAGTTTATCTGGGGTGTAGCAGCTCCTTGGTAGAGCTTGTGTGAGACACTGGGTTAAATTCCTAGTGAAAAAAAAATTTTTTTTCCCCAAAAGTTAATGAAAGGAGTGACTTTATTGACTGCATCTGTTATGACCGAATAAATAGTGTAGAAAGTGACCTGCACATATGTTCAGAGTACACACCTGTCAACCATGCCCTCTTTAATGGGTTATAGAGTCCTATGTATCACTATCTCTTGAACTTGTTAGAGGAGTGCCTTTCTTTTTGTTGCTCTACGGAATTACATGAAAAAAAAATTTTCCCTTTGATGTTCTTGGGGCCTGGGGCCTATCCTCAGTTTCTGCTCCTTTTAACCAGCTCTGTAAGAGGCTTGTGAATCCTAGGGAGTAAACACTGCTTTATAGTGAGTTTCCACCTTTTGTGGAGACTGAACCTGGGACATTGAGTGCGTTGGGCAAGTGCTCTAATGATGAGCTGTATCCCCTTAGTGGGGAGGAAACAGGTTTATTGAGGGACCTGCATGTGGCAGCAAGTTGGACTTAAGAGCACTGCTTCCTTGCCTTACTATTTGTGTGTGTGTTTGTTTTAGAGGCAGGGTCTCACACTGTAGCCCAGGCTGGTCTCAAGCTTACTGTGATCCTCCTGCCTCTGCCTTGCAAGTACTGGTATTGTAGACATGTATGTACTCCTGTCCCCACCAATGCTTTTGAAACTAAATATGCTGATTTCCTGTATCTCTCTTACATCCCTTCTTCCCTCTCTCTTTAAAGATGGCTCTAAGCAAATCAATGCATGCAAGAAATAGATACAAGGACAAGCCACCTGACTTCGCATATCTGGCATCCAAATATCCAGATTTTAAGCAGCATATTCAGATAAATCTGAATGGGAGAGTAAGGTAGGTAACACATGAAAAGTTATTAATATGCATCACTCTAATGTGATCTGAGTGGACTTGATGTGATAGGAAGCAAGCTAGACTGACAGAAGACCTGAGTGTTAACCATGTGCATTTCATGGAATATCTTATATGACCTTGGACAAACCCAATTATCCATCCTGGGGGTCAAGTTTTTAGATCTATCAAGTCTGAAAATTGGAAAGTCTCTTAGTGGCCAACTTACTGCTTCTACAACAGAGATGCCAAAGTAACTGAGACTAGGATTGTACTCTGTGTGATTAGTGCTCAGTGAATGACAAAATGTCTTGTTATGTGCACACCTTTAATCTCAGCACTTGGTAGGCAGAGGCAAGCCTGGTCTATAGAGCTAGTTCTAGGACAGCTAAGGCTACACAGAGAAACCCTGTCTTGAAAAACCAAAAAAAACCAAACCAAACCAAACCAACCAAACAAACAAAAAAAACACGTTAGTTTTGATGTGAAGTAGGAAAGTAATAACTAGAATGTTAAAGCTTGCTCCAGGGATATAGCTTAGTTGTTATAGAATTGACCTGGCATTCATGAAACCCTGGGTTCTATCTCTAGCACTGAATAAACAAAGTGTGGTGGAGCACACATCTGTGATGTCAGCACTTGGGAGGTGGAGGCAGGAGGATCAATTCAAGGACATCCTTAGCTACATAATGATTTTGAGGCTATTTGAGAGTATCTGAAAAACAAAGAAGGGCAGAGATTACGATAATGGTATGAGAATGTGAGAACGTAAGTGTGTTATACCTGAGGTGACAGATGCACAATAAGACCAGGCCAGGCTAGTCAGCAAGTAATCTTAGCCACCAAGCCGTCTCTCTAGCCACCCCCACCCCAACACTGTTCTTCAGACTTTTATTTCATAGTTTTATATATTAGTCAACTTTCCATTACTTTAGCAAATAGAAACCAATGTAGGAAGAGAAGAGGTTGGTATTGCCTTGTAGTTTTGGAGATTTTACTCTTAAGATAAGGTGGCTTTGTTGCTGAGGCAATACATAGTGACTAGATGTGCCTAAGGAGCAGTACACCACATAGCCACTGGGAAATGAGAAGAGAAGGGACAGGATCTCATAGCCCATTTGGAGGCATGTCTTTAATGACTTAACACCCTCCCACTCTCCACCTTGTGAAGGTTCCAACACTTCCCAGTTGTGCCAAACTGGGGACTAAACTTTTTTTTTTGATCTGAGTTTGAGACTAACCTGGTCTTCAGAATTCGTTCCTGGGCAGCCCAGGTCTATACAGCTTTGGATGTCTTGGAACTGACTGTGTAGACCAGGCTGGCCTGCCACCATACCCAGTCTGCAAAGTTAGTTTTTTTTTAATTTTATTTATGGTTAAGACCACTTACTGATTTTTTGCAGGTTGGGGGTAAGGATGGGGGATAGGGGGTGTTGAGACAGTGAGACAGGGTTTCTCTGTGTAGCTTTGGAGCCCTTCCTGGAACTCACTGTAGCCCAGGCTGGCCTTGAACTCACAGATTCGCCACCACCGCCGGCCAACACTTACTGCTTTTACAGAGGACTTGGGGTTTGGTTCCCAGCACCCACTTGGTAGCTCACAATAGTCTCTAATTCCAATTCCAGATGATCTGATGCCTCTTTCTGGTCTCTGAGAGTAGTATACATATGTGGTATACAGTCATGCATACATGCCAAAATGCATACACAAAAAATAATTTTTTACAAATAAAAGTTTTTTTTTTTTTTGGTTTTTGTTTTTTTTTTTTTGGTTTTTCGAGACAGGGTTTCTCTGTGTAGCTTTGCGCCTTTCCTGGATCTCACGCTGTAGACCAGGCTGGCCTCGAACTCACAGAGATCCGCCTGCCTCTGCCTCCCAAGTGCTGGGATTAAAGGCGTGCGCCACCACCGCCCGGCAAAAGTTTTTAATTACATTTATTTATTCATTCGTGCATTTGCCTGTATGAATGTAGTCATGTGCCACAGCATGTTTGGAGATCAGAGGAGAACTTGTGTGTCCTTCCAGCAGGTGAGTTCTGCGCTTCAAATTTAAACTGTCAGGCTTGGCAGCAACTGGCTTTGTACACTGAGCCTTCTTGCTGGCCCTTCAAAGTGTATATTTTATAATAGAGATAAGAATTCCCCTGGGCAATGGGCAAAGGACACCTTGGTGGTGGTAGTGTTCTTATATCAGTCGGGCAGAGCAGATAGATGATAGTCCATTGTTCATCCTAGCTTGATGCCTGACTTGGTGGCCAAAGCTGTTTCATGTAGGGCACATTTAAAAAAAAAAAAAGAATTAAAATTATTTTGCTTCACAAATGTGCCTATAAAAAAGAAGACATGGGGCTGGAGAGATGGCTCAGGGGTTAAGAGCACTGGCTGCTCTTCCAGAGGACCAGGGTTCAATTCCCAGCACCCACATGGCAGCTTATAACCGTCTGTAACTCCAGTTCCAGGGAATCTGGGACTCTCACACAGATACACATGCAGGGAAAAAATAAAAAATAAATCATTAGAAAAAAAAAAGACATGGCCGTCATTAATATTTTCCTTAATTTTATTTATATATGACCGTGTGTTTGTGTGCCGTGGTACATATGTGGAGGTCAGAGAACAGTTTTCAGGAGTTGATCTTCTCATTGTGGCATCCAGGGGTTGGATTCAGATCCCCAGGCCTGTGTGGCTGGTGCTTTTACCCTATCTCTGGTTCTCTGGTGTTGGGGAGCTCAGGCTAGGGCAGTTTTCTTTAAAGTTGAGAGTATTATTTGTGTGTGTGTGTGTGTGTGTGTGTGTGTGTGTGTGTGTGTGTGTGTGTATGTGTATGTGTGTGTGTGTATGATGTGAGCGTGTGCAGGAGTATGCTGCTGCATGGACTTTGTTTTGTTTTTGTTTTTTTGAGACAGGATTTCTTGTTTTGGTGCCTGTCCTGGATCTTGCTCTGTAGACCAGGCTGGCCTTGAACTCACAGAGATCCTCCTGGCTCTGCCTCCTGAGTGCTGGGATTAAAGGCATGTGCCACTACTGCCCGGCTCTTTTTTTTTTTTTAAGGAAAGTGGATGGAAACATACTTGATTTTTTTTTTTTTTGGTTTTTTCGAGACAGGGTTTCTCTGTGTAGCTTTGCGCCTTTCCTGGGACTCACTTGGTAGCCCAGGCTGGCCTCGAACTCACAGAGATCCACCTGGCTCTGCCTCCCGAGTGCTGGGATTAAAGGCGTGCGCCACCACCGCCCGGCGGAAACATACTTGAAAACAAGACTGGTCATGTCATATCCTGTTTTTTTTTTTAAATGTCTACTAACTTTTTATTTATTTATTTTATTTGTTTTGGGGGGTGTTTTGAGATAGGGTTTCTCTGTGTGTAGTCCTAGCTGTTCTGGAACTCACTCTGTAGACCAGGCTGGCTTCAAACTCAAAGAGATCTGCTTGCCTATGCCTCCCGGGTGCTGGGACTAAAGGCGTGCGCCACCACCGTCTGGCCCTACTAACTTTTAAAATTTTTGTTTATTTTTAATTTTATGTTACATGTATGCCTGCATGTGTGTCTGCACTGCGTGTTCCTGGTGCTGGTGGAGGCCAGAACAGGGCTCAGATCTGCCAGAACTGGAGTTACAGATGGTTGTGAACTGCCATGGGGTTGCTGGGAATCAAACCCAGGTCCTCTGGAAAAGCAGAGCTATTGAGCCATCTCTTCAGCCCTCCAGAGGACAGCTTTTGAGAGTTGGTTCTCTACTCCCATCATTGCTTGTGGAGGACTGAACCGAGGTCATCAGGCTTGTGTGACAAACGCTTTGTTTTGTTTTGTTTTTTGAGACAGGGTTTCTCTGTGTAGTTTTGGTGCCGTCCTGGGTCTCGCTCTGTAGACCAAGCTGGCCTTAAACTCACAGAGATCCGCCTGGCTCTGCGTCTCGAGTGCTGGGATTAAAGGTGTGGGCCACCACTGCTCAGCTGTGACAAATGCTTTTACCTGCTATCTTGCTGGACAGTATATTTATTTTTACAGAACAAAGAACACAATTTATGGTGGCTGGAGAGATGGCTCAGTGGTTAAGAGCACTGACTGCTTTCCCAGAGGACCTGGGTTCAATTCCCAGCACCCACATGACAGCTCACAACTGTCTGTAACTCTAATTCCAGGGGATCCAACACCCTCACATAGACATACATGCAGGCAAAAATGCTAACACACATAAAAATAAAAACTTAAAAAAAACCCCACAATTTATATTATGCTTCATGCATGCACTATCATGTATGGCATATGCAGAAGGGATTTGTTATATATAGGTATAGGAGATGGGAGAGCTGCTCTCCTGTGTCAAAGACCTAGCTGCTTCTAGCAGGACTACTGCTTTCCTGCTTGATTAGGTCAGAGGTCAGGATTCCCTGTATTGATAAAATGTTCCTTTCCTTTTTCATGATTCTATTTACCTTTTTTCATGATTCTTTCTGTCTGTCTGTGTGTCTGTTTAGGTCTTTTGGGACAGGGTTTCTTTGCTTAGCCCTGGCTGTTCTGGGACTAGCTCTGTAGAGCAGACTGGCCTCAGACCACAGAGATCTACCTGCCTTTGCCTCCTGGTATGCACCACCATCCCATGATTTGATTTTTAGTTATGTGTGTGTATCTGTGGGTTTGTGTACATGAATGCGTTGCCTGAGGAGGCCAGAAGAGGATGTCAGATTTCCTGGAGTTGGAGTTACAGATGATTGTTAACCAACCTGTACAGGTGCTGGGACTGAACTCAGGTCCTGGAAGAGCAATGCACACTCTTAATTGTCTTTCCACTCCCCAGATTTATGTTTGCTTGCTTGCTCTCTGTCTCTTTGGAGACAGACAGGGTCTTGCTGTGTAGCCCAATCTGACCTTGAACTGTTCTTCCTTCCTTAGACTCCTGAGTTTTTTTATTAATTTATTTTTGCAGTCCTGGGGTTCAAACCTAGGGCCTCTTGTATTCTAGGCAAATTAGATTTTCTTGAGGCAAGATCCTACTAGCTCAGAGTGATCTGAAACTCATTCTGGCCTCATCGGGCCTCAGATTCACTGAGATCCTCCTACCTCAGTCTTCTGAGTACTGGGGTTACAGGCTGGTTACACACCCAGTGCAGGTACTTCATTTTTTTTTTTTTTTTGTTTTGTTTTGTTTTGTTTTTTCGAGACAGGGTTTCTCTGTGTAGCTTTGCACCTTTCCTGGAACTCACTTGGTAGTCCAGGCTGGCCTCGAACTCACAGAGATCCGCCTGGCTCTGCCTCCCGAGTGCTGGGATTAAAGGCGTGCGCCACCACCGCCCGGCCAGGTACTTCATTTTAATAGTGTCAGTTTATTTATTTTTGGTTTTTGGAGATGAGGTTTCTCTGTATAGCCTGGCTGCCCTAGAACTCATTCTGTCCACCCTGCTGGTTGTAAATTCACAGAGAACCACCTGCCTCTGCCTCCCTAAACGCTGGGATTAAAGGTGTGAGCCCCCTCTTTCCAACACCATTTTAATCCTTTTTAAAGAAAAAATTTAATTGCTATTAAATTTTATTAAAGAAAAAATTTAATTATATGTATGGGTGTTTTGCCTGCATGTGTGCCTGTGTACCCTGTGCATGCAGTTTCCATGGAGACGAAGAGGGTGTTGGGTCCCTTGGAACTGGGATTGTGGGTGGCTGTGAGCTGTCACGTGGGTGCTGAGAATTGAACCCAGGTCCTTTGGAAGAGCAGCAAGTGCGCTTAGTGGTTGAGCCATCTCTTCAGGTCCAAATATTAGTCTTAAAGAAGGCATTTGACAACCAAAGTTTTAGGTAATTTTCTAGTTTTACAGAGACTGAGTCTCCTTATCTAAATGTAGGTAAAAGAATATAGTTTTGTATGGCTTTCGTAAAGGTTAGTGATAATTTATACACAATGATTAGCATATTATAAACATTTGATTAAGGGTAGATATCCCCTATTGTTAGGAAGCCTGATAGGGTTGAGATGGCCATTATTGAGGATGTGATGATGTCTGTTTTTTCCTACCCATCACTGATTTGTTAAAATTGTATCAGATCATTGTAATTTAATTAGGTTTTGCTTTTTCATGCAAACAGCCTGCTGTTTGTTTGAGCTCTGTTAGTTGATCTTGAACACAGTGTGACATTTAACTTTTCTGTTTTTAAACCAAAGACCAACACTGAAGGTTAGTTGTACTTGGTGACTAGTGAAAACTAGTATCATCTCATTGATGATCCAGTGACCCAGACCAGGGTTGCAACAAAGCTGACAGGCTTTGGTGTTTATTGACGCACTTGAGGATCAGCTTCTGCCGTATTAGAATGATTGTTAGGTCATCCTTGAATAGTGGAAATGCATATTCTAAAACTCATCTCCAATGATGATACAAATAAAGTAGTCATTTGCAGCAGAGTGGGGATCATTCTGGGGTAATCAGAAGTCTGTTGACAATAGGCTGTTTTGTGAAGCTGCATGTGTTAATTAAACAAACAACAAGGACTGATGGAATGAATAAATGCTAATTTTCACGTGAGAGCTAATTTTAGTTCCCCCTGTGATCTTGGAAATGAGAATAAAAACAGATCTTGCCTGTGTTCAGGTTTCACAGTGTCCCAGGGTGCTAATGTGACCTAGATATTTAAGTAGTGAAGTTGGGTGACTAGACTTTGCCCTACAAAGGATTTCCAACACTTGGATATTATCTGCCTTTTCTTAGAACTAAAAAATGAACAGTCAATTTTGTTACTAGAATCTAAGAATCTGTTTTCATAGGTTTCTGTTTATTCCCTTCATTGGTCTTCCTTCTGCTTCATATGCAGTGTTTTTTGGTGATAGGTTATAGTTCCTCATTAGTAAATCATGTGCTGTAGTCTATTAGAATGAGAGAGTATGTTTGTATGTTTAGGGAGTCTTGTTTTGGAGAGTCTTGATCTGTATCTCTGGCTGCTTGGGATTCACTGTGTAGACCTGGATGGCCTTGAACTTGAAAAGATCTTTCTCCCTCTTAATTGTGATTGCAGGTATATTCTTCCATGCTTGACCATAGATTTTAGTTTTATACAACTGAGGGTCAAACCCAGGTTTCCTGTGCACACTCGGTAAACACTGTACTGCTGAGCTATACCCCTAACCCTGTGTATTTGTAGTGTGTGGGGTTTCAGAGAGAGACAGGGAGGTACTTTTCCAATAATAATTTTTTTAATTATGTATAATAATATCATTTCCCCTTTCCTCTTTTCCTCTCCTATGCACCCTTTGCTCTCAAATTCATGGCTTCTTTCTCTTTAATTGTTGCTGTTGGTGGTGATAATGGGGTGTGTATGTGGGGTGTTTTTTTTTTTTTTTTTTGGTTTTTCGAGACAGGGTTTCTCTGTGTAGCTTTGCGCCTTTCCTGGAACTCACTTGGTAGCCCAGGCTGGCCTCGAACTCACAGAAATCCGCCTGGCTCTGCCTCCCGAGTGCTGGGATTAAAGGCTGTGCGCCACCACCGCCCGGCTTTTTTTTTTTTTTTGAGACAGGGTTTCTCTGTATAACAGTCCTGTCTGTCCTGGAATTCACTTTGTAGACCAGGCTGGCCTCAAACTCACAGAGATCCGCTTGTCTCTGCCTCCTGAGTGCTGGGATTAAAGGCATGCTTCAATATGCTGAGTATAAAAATGGAGAAAAATTTTTTTAAATTTTTAAATTTTGTTCCTTTTTTAAAAATAAAAGATTTATTTATTTATTATGTATGCAGTGTTCTGTCTGCATGTATGCCTGCAGGCCAAAAGAGGGCAACAGATCTCATTACGGATGATTGTGAGCTGCCATGTGGTTGCTGGGAATTGAACTCAGAACCATTGGAAGAGCAGGCAGTGCTCTTAACAGCTGAGCCATCTCTCCAGCCCACCCCCCTTTTAAAAATAATTTATTTAAATTTGTTTTATGTGCATTGGTGTGAAGGTGTCAGATGTCCTGGAACTGGAGTTGCAGGCAGTTGTGAGATGACATGTCGGTGCTGGGAATTGAACCGGGGTGCTCTGGAAGAGTAACCAGTGCTCTTAACCGCTGAGCCATCTCTCCAGCCTCCTTTTTTGTTCTTTTTTGAGACAGGGTTTCTTGGTGTATTACTTGCTGTTCTAGAACTCGCTCTGTAGACCAGGCTGGCCTTGAACTCCCAGAGATCCACCTGCCTCTGCCTCCAGATTGCTAGGATTAAATATACCTTCTAGACCACTTAATGGAAAAAATTACAGAAATGCATCATTCCTAGATAATATAATGACCATACTGCATGTATAAAAGGAAAAAGTTGGGGATTGGAAAGATGGCTCAGTCAGGAAAATGCTTGCTGTGCAAACATGCTGACTGTCTTAGGGTTTCTATTGCTGTGAAGAGACACCGTGATCACAGCAACTCTTACAAAGAAAACATTTGGTTGGGGCTCACTCACAGTTCAGAGGTTCAGTCCATTATCATCATGGTGGGGCATGGTGGTGTGCAGGTAGACATGCTAGAGAAGTAGCTGAGAGTCCTACATCTTGCAGGCAGCAGGAAGTGGTCTGAGTGTCACACTGAGCAAAGCTTGAGCATAGGAGACCTCAAAGCTCACCCCCTGGTGACACACTTCCTCCAACAAGGCCTCACGTACTCCAGCAAAGCCACACCTCCCAATAGTGCTACTCCCTTTGGGGGCCATTTTCTTTAAACTACAGTGACCTTAGTTGTTCCCCTACTCTCCTTGTAAATGCCTGATGCAATGGTGTATTCCTGTAATCCCCCTGCCTGAGAAGCAGGATTCCCGAGTCTTGAATTCCAGGTTCAGGGCCAGCCTGGAAGAGTGGTGGCTTTCTGGCACAGTGCTCTTTCAGAACATGGTCCCTGAGTAGCTGCTCAGCCTCGGAAGATTTGTAGCTGTCCATAGGTATAAAGAACTTGTGTCATTTGGTTAGTTCATATTTCTTTCCCTGAATTGTCATTTTGAAAGCTAGTCCTACTAAGTCCCCTGGATTTGCAGTCCTCGATTTTCACAGCTCTACTGCACAGTAACATTGAGAAGTTATAAGGCAGTGCTTAGGTTTCTGGGTATGCACTTCAGAAAACACTTTCAAATTTTGTTTTAGGTGTTTCTAGGTCATTAGGTTTCCTTAATTTCTAAAATTTTTTTTTTTTTTTTTAGGTTTTTCGAGACAGGGTTTCTCTGTGCAGCTTTGCGCCTTTCCTGGATCTCGCTCTCTAGACCAGGCTGGCCTCGAACTCACAAAGATCCGCCTGCCTCTGCCTCCCGAGTGCTGGGATTAAAGGCGTGCGCCACCACCGCCCGGCAAATTTCTAAAATTTTTACATTTCAAAATGTAAGACTTAGCCGGGCGGTGGTGGTGCACGCCTTTAATCCCAGCACTCGGGAGGCAGAGCCAGGCGGATCTCTGTGAGTTCAAGGCCAGCCTGGGCTACCAAGTGAGTTCCAGGAGAGGAGCAAAGCTACACGGAGAAACCCTGTCTCGAAAAACCAAAAAAAAAAAAAAAAAAAAAAAAGTAAGACTTTACACATAGTATGATGGGATATTAGATTAGTCAGTGTATTGGAATAAAATGTGAATATATTTAGTGTCTTACTTGACTGAATTTCTGAATGTGTAAGATAGACTTTTATTTCTGTCAGGAGTTAAATACAATATTTTGTTTGTTAAGTCTTGTGTTTTTTGGGGGGAGGGAGGGAGTTGATTTTATTTTTTCGAGACAGGGTTTCTCTGTAACATCCGTAGCTGTCCTGGAACTCGCTTTTTAGACCAGGCTGGCCTTGACCTCACAGAGATCCTGCCTCCTGAGTGCTGGGATCAAAGGCATGTGCCAAACCAGGCCTGGTACTTTTTTGTTTGTTTGTTTTGTTTTGAGTCAGGGTCTCTCTGTTATGTACCCTGGCTGTGCTTTGGAACCCTGTGTGTAGACCAGGCTGGCCTCAAACCTAACAGATCTGCCTGCTTCTGCCTCCCAAGTGGGGAGATTAAAGATATGTGCTATCACACCTGACTGAACATTATGCTGTTTTTTTTTTTTTTTTTTTTTTCCATTTTTTTGAGTGAGGTTTTGAAGAATTGTGTTAGGGTCAATGATGTTGGTGATAGTGAAAAAGAAAAAAAATAGCTAGCACTGAGCAGTGGTGGTGCACGCCCTTAATCCCAGTGCTCAGGAGGCCGAGCCAGGTGGAGCTCTCTGAGTTTGAGGCTAGCCTGGTCTATAGAGTGAGATCCAGGACAGGCACCAAAACTACACAGAGAAACCCTGTCTCGAAAAAACAAAAGAACAAAAAAAAAAAACAGAAAAAAAAACCCCACTTAGTATCAAGAGCTGTATTCTTTTCAGAGACTGTCACATGGCACTGATGTTGGTACTCTTACCCTTAACAGCTGAGAGAAGTGTCAGCATGGCTTGAACAGAGGCACTCTTAACCTCTGTGCTGTGGTGCATGTGGGGATGCAGCCATTCTGGTGGATAACTACTGATTTCTCATAGACTCTGAAGGTGTCCAGCACCCCTGTGTGTCTGCTGTTGTGCCGAATGTTGAACGTTAGGAACTTCAAATGGACATTGGGTTGCTAGTGTTGCTGCTTGATATGGCAAGGAGCTAGTGCAGCCCAGTGGTACATACTAATCACTTGGTCTTTGTCTCTGCTCCTCAGTCTTAATTTCAAAGACCCTGAAGCAGTCAGAGCTCTGACTTGTACTCTCCTAAGAGAAGACTTTGGACTTTCTATTGATATTCCTTTAGAGAGACTAATTCCCACAGTTCCCTTGAGACTCAACTATATTCACTGGGTAGAAGATCTGATTGGGCACCAGGATTCTGATAAAAGTACTCTTCGAAGAGGAATCGACATAGGTAAGTTTAGGGTTCTTCTTTTGGGGGCTGAAAGTAATTTTCTTTTTTTTTTTTTTAAGATTTATTTATTTATTATGTATACAACATGTATGACTACAGGCCAGAAGAGGGCACCAGATCCCATTACGGATGGTTGTGAGCCACCATGTGGTTGCTGGGAATTGAACTCAGGACCTCTGGAAGAGCAGTTAGTGCTCTTAACCTCTGAGCCATCTCTCCAGCCCTGAAAGTAATTTACATAGGTATTGCATTCAGACTCCTTCTAAGCTCTTCTAGTAGTTGTTGGGAAAGAAGCTTTTACCTGTTACCTGTTAAACTGGTTTCTCTTGGAGTGTCCATGTCAGTTAAGGGGCAAAGGGGGTAAGAGAAGTGTGGAAGGAGAGAGAGGCTCTTGTCTACTTAGCTTTCAAATTTCCACCTTAATGTCTGTTTGTTGGGCATTGTCTACTCTGTTATTAAACAATTCTCTATTTTATTGCTGTTATTATTATTATTATTATTATTATTTTTGAGACAGGGCTTTTCTGTGTCACTCTGGCTATTCTGGAACTCACTCTGTAGACCAGGCTTTCTTCAAACTCACAAAGATCCTCCTGCCTCTGCTTCCTGAGTGCTGGGTGCTTTGCCCCTGGAGTCCTCCTTTTCTCGTTCTTGATCTTCTCTTCCCATATTTCTCCTTCTGTTTCTTCTCTCTGTCTGCCAGCCCTGCCTATCCTCTCTCCCGCCTCATCTCTTTATTAGACCATCAGGTGTTTTAGACAGGCACAGTAACACAGCTTCACAGAGTTAAACAAATGCAACATGAAAGAATGCAACACATCTTTGCATCATTAAACAAATGTTCCACAGCATAAACAAATGTAATACATCTTCAACTGATATTCTACAACAGCACTTTTTTCTTTATTTTTGATGAGACTGCTGATCACAAAATCTGTGTTGTTTTTTTTTTAAATGATAGAATCTTGCTAGTCTCACATTCCCGAATTCCAGAAGCCCTCCCACTCAGCTGCCCGTGTAGTGAGGGCTAAAGGTGTGAGCTAGCGTACTCACTTCCTGTTGTTGTTTCTCTCTGAAACATCACTTTTTCTTTTGAAAATTGGTGGCACTAGGGTTTGAACTGGCTTTGCTAGGCAAGCATTCCACCACTGAGCTGCATCCTCATTCTCTCTTTTCCCTTTGGAGTTGGGATTTTATTCTGTTGCCCTTTCTGGCCTCCAGCTCCTCTTCTCAATCGATCCTTTTGCCTCAACGTCCCTACGTTCTTCACGACTGTGGAATTGTAGATGTGTCCATTGTGTCTGGTGTCCTTTCATTGATTTTATTTTTTATTATTTGTGACTTTTTTTGTAAGGTTTATTGATTTGTTATGTATACAGTATTCTGCCTGCATGTGCACTTGCAGGCCAGAAGAGGGCACCAGATCTAATTGCAAGTGGTTGTGAGCCACCATGTGGTTGCTGGGAATTGAACTCAGGACCTCTGGAAGAGCAGTCAGTGCCCTTAACCACTGAGCCATCTCTCCAGCCCTATTTGTGACTTTTTGACACAGGATCTCCTGGAGCTCAGCATGTTCTTGAACTCCTGATCCTATCTTTGGCACCATCTGTGAGCTTCCTATGGGCTTCCACTACTGTCCATCTTCACTGCCACTGTTCCAGTCTAGTTCATCATCATCTCTACCATGTGTACAGAACAGCTTCTCAGCTGCTTTGCTGACATCTCTACTCAGTTGCTCTTACATTTCATTGTTGGCACTGTGTCCAGAAAATATGTATATGTCCACATCTGATCACATCTTCTCTTAGTAGTTCCTTATATTGCTTTTGTGATAAATACTTTTTTTCTCTCTTTTTTGAGACAGTGTTTCTTTGTATAGCTCTGGCTGTCCTGGAACTTGCTCTGTAAATCCGGCTGGCCTCAAACTCACAGGGATCTGCCTACCTCTGCCTCCCGAAGTGCTGGGATTAAAACCTTGACTTGGCCCATCAGAATTTCTGTTGTCTGATTCTTACCCTCTTCTCTGGGTTCTCTAAGCCTCAGCTTACATGATTTTTTGTTTTCCACACTTGTCTTCTAGACCTTTAGTCTTTTGTATATGTTATTTGCTGTGCCTCAGACTTCTCCCGTCTTTGTCCTGTTGGTTCCCATTTATATTATACTTGTCAACTAAAGCCTGCTTTCTCTGTAAAAGCTTTCTCTGACTTTGCAATCTATGAAAGGTTGTTTCTTGGTTATAATACTAGACTGCCACTAGATTGCAAACTAGTTAAAATAATCTCTCAAGGCCTAGCGAAGTTGTTGGATAAAGGCATTCTTTTGACATTCAAATTCTAAGTGCTTCATGTGATCTAAGCACTGGAGACCTGGTGGAGTTCACTTAAAGCTCTTAGTTTTTGTTCATGGTAGAAGATGGCTGATGGTCTTAGAAGGCTAAAAGCTTGTCTTGAAAAGTGTGGTAGCAGGTACTTGTGATCTCGGCACTTGGGTTATGACAGAGCATGATGGCAAGTTCCAGGCCAGTGTTGGCCCGGGTTACGCAGTGAGACCATAACTGGGGAGGAAGTGGGGAAAAGGACCCTAGCCTATTTGGTGCTAATTGCATTTCAATTATGCCCCAAACCCCCTGAAGTAGCACTTGGGGATACACGAGGTTAATGGATTTTAGCTCTTCGCAAGGGGCAATGCTTGCTGAAATCATATTCTTTCTAATTAGGGTTCTATATAAATTCTTCCCCCAGACTCCATCAGTTTGCTCTAATTCTGTGACTACGCTTTCCATTTTTATTTATTGTTATAAAGATTATTACCCACTTAAAATCTTGTTTGGTTTTCTGAGGATATCAGAATGTCAGGATGCAAGTTTCTTGGTCTTGAGGATTAGAGAATAATTTTAGGAGGGTAAGGGGATAGTTCTTTTACTTGCATTTTATTTTTCCCCCTTTGATACAAAATTAAAAAGAAGGTCCCATTTTTTTTTTTCTTGAGAGGTGAAAACATTCTAAATGACTTTAGCTCTCCATAATGCCCAGGCCTAAACGATTGACTTTTGAGGAGCTGGGTATCCTCATCCCTTTCTACCTCCCAAATCCCCAAGGAGGTGTTTGCCTAACAGCATCAGGACCAAGAGACAATAACTGTGGCTGCAAAGAGGTTAAGGATTGCAACCATTAATTTTGGTCTCTGTTTCCCAGCCTGTTGAGAATAGGTCGTGAGGATGATTGGGTGAGTGGGCTTCTGGGTTAGGAGCACCTTCAGAACCTGCAGAGCTACAATAGAATCAGTTTGTGGTCAGGGGAAAGCAGCCCTGGGAGTGGGTTCAGGCTGTAGCCCTCAGGAGAAACCCCAGCTTTCCTCCCCTTGGATATACTCATTGGGATCTAATTGGTCAAGATTTGTTAGTAAAGGCAGCATTTGGAGGGGAAAGTAGACCAGTCCAGGGTAGGGGCTCTTCATGTAAATTTAGGGACAAATATTGGCTGTTGAAGCTGATTCCCCCCTCCCCGATCCCCGCCATGAAGCCCTGGTTTCTCATTATGTCTCTTGAACCTGTGCTAGGGCTAGTCAGTGACTGACATTGTACACAACCACAGACCACAGGGAGTCGGGCCATTTGATGCCATGGAAATCACACGCACACACACACATGCACGCACGCACGCACGCACGCACGCACGCACGCACGCACGCACGCGCGCGCACCCTTACTTCTGCTTTTCAAGAATAAACTGTTTATCTGCATATTTTCTTAGTTTTCCTCTCTTTTCTTTGAGGCAGGGTCTCAGATTCACAGTCTTCTTGCCTCTGCAGCTTATGTGTTGGAATTACAGGTGTGTGACGCTATGCCCAGCTTATTGATTTGTTTTAAGATACTACTGTGGTGTTTTAATAAGTAACATTGCATTGAGGAAATTGTTTTGTATGGGACATAAAGACTTTTATAAGCAAATTTTATAAAATAAGGTATTTTGGCCACTTTAGGTTAATAAGCTGTGCTTTCCTGGGCCTCCAGTTGTCTGTACTTCATTTACACACAGCATAGAGGAGTAGGGCAGGAAGGTTTCTGTCCTCTAGGAAGTTTGTACTTAGCGGTCAGACTCAGGAGTGCAATGAGGAGCAAGCCCAGTAGCGCAGAATAGCCTCATTTGTGAGTTCTACTGTGGAGACCTGAAAGAATTCCTAAGAAGAAAAAGGATTTTATTGTTCTCACCTTCTGCGCTCATATGTGGAATGTGCTGGATTTTTATTTACTAGGTACCGGGGCATCCTGCATCTATCCCTTACTTGGAGCAACCTTAAATGGCTGGTATTTCCTGGCAACAGAAGTGGATGATATGTGCTTCAATTATGCAAAGAAAAATGTGGAACAGAATAACCTATCTGATCTCATTAAAGGTTGGTTCTTGTGAATAAATAGCCCCTCAAGCTTTGTTTATTAAAACTTCTCTAATTTAAAATGTCTTATTATTATCTTCTATGGGTTTTTTGTTTATTTGTCATGAGACAGGGTTTCTCTGTAGCTCTGGCTGCCCTGGAACCCACTTCGTAGACCCGGTTGACCTTGAACTCAGAGATCCTCCTGCCTCTGCCTCCTGAGTGCTGGGATTAAAGATGAGTATCACCATGCCTGACTTCTTATCTTTTGCTTAAATGTATAGCCTTTAAACTTTAAATAATCTGGTATATTGTAATTGGGTTTGATGCCAGAATTAACTCAGAAGGAATGTAGTATTATAGTTGATACCCATTATTTCTATACTTGTGAATTTGGCCTGTGTTTTGTTACTGTTCTATTGCTGTGATGACATGATGACCTATGGAAGAGTTTATTTGGGATGTACAGTTTCAGAAGGTAGAGTTCATGACCATAATGGTGGCCAGCATGGTGACAGGCAGGCAGGCATGGTGCTGGAGTGAATCTTGAGAAACAACTGCAGTGGTTGATATAAGTCTTTTGAAACCTCAGAGCCCACTGTCAGTGACTCACCTTCATCTGACAAGGCCACGCCTCCTAATTCCTGTGGGGAGGGAGAGGGCCATTCTAATTCAAAATATCACACCTTCTAATTTAGTTAGTTAAGTAGATTTTTTTTTTCCAGTAGGTAATTCTTAAAAATTTGCTATGTTGATGCCAGGCAATGGTGGCTCACATCTTTAATCCCAACATTCAGAAGGCGGAGGCAGATAGATCTCTGAGTTCCAGACCAGCCTGGTCTACACATTGAGTTGCAAGACAGCCAGGGCTATGCAGAGAAACCTTGTCTTGAAAAACAAACAAAACAAAAAAGCATTTGCTATGTTGAGGCTGGAGAGATGGCTTGGGTTGAGAGTGCTTACTGTTTCCAGCACTCTCGTGGTAGTTCATAACTGTCTGTATCTCTTAATTCCTGGGTATCTTATGCCTCTGTCTTCTGAGGATAACAGGCATGCACATGGTTATATATATATACATACGAACAAAGCATATATACATATACATACGAACAAAGCAGTCTTTTTTTGTTTGGTTTTTTCCAGACAGGGTTTCTCTGTGTAGTTTTGGTGCCTGTCCTGGAACTCACTCTGTAGTCCAGGCTGGCCTGGAACTCTCAGAGATCCACCTGCCTCTGCCTCCCAAGTCCTGGAATTAAAAGCATGCACCACCACCGCCCGGCTAAACAAAGCACTCTTACACATAAAATTTAAAACAAATGTTAAAGCATGTGCTACTATGCATGGCTGTTAAATCATCATCATCATCATCATTATTATTTTACTGTATATTCTTATGTGGTTTTGGTATGTATTTTAATATACCTTGGGGGGGGGGTTGTTTTTGAGACAGGGTTTCTCTGTGTAGCCATGGCTGTCCTGGAACTTGCTCTGTAGATCAGGCTGGCTTTGACATTGCAGAGATCTACTAGCCTCTGCCTCCTGAATGCTGGAACTAAAGGCGATTGCCACCACCTCCTGGCTAATATACTTCGTTTTATAGAACTCTTCACAGCAAGATTGCACATCCCTGCCCTCATGTGTAATCAACTTCCATTATTGATAACGAGAACCATAGTGGTTTCATTGGTTATAGTCACTGTACTTTTATTAACACATCATTATCATCTAACGTTTATAGTTTAGGGCTGGAAAGATGGCTCAGTAGGTAAACGTGCTTGCTGTGCAGTTCTGGTGGCCTAAATTTGATCCCGGAATCCATGGTGCAAAGAGAAAAGTGATTCCTGGAAGTTGTCCTCTGGTTGTTGGTATGTTCATACACACTTGCATGGGTGTATACACACACACACACACACACACACACACACACACACACACACACAGTGCAAGAGAGAGCCCAAGAGTGCCTGCCACATGATGTCTCAGCTGGTAAGGTGCTTGTCACCAAATCTAACAACCTGAGCTCAGTCCCTTGACCCTAGAACCCACATGGTGAAGGAGAGAATGACCGACTTCTGCAGGTTATGTGTACACGTACTAAATGTTTAAACAAAACAAAAGAAACAAAAAATATAAAACCCTAAGTCTGTAATTTAAAACATTTATTTTTCTTGAAATTTATGGGCCTCTTGGGTGCTGGACAAACACTGAGCACTTGAGTTATATTCCCACCCTTTAAAATTTTTTATTTTATTATTCCATGTGTATAGGTGTTTATGTCTGTGCACCACTCTGTGTATCTGGTGCCCATGGAGGCCAGAAGAGGGTGTCAGATCTCGTGAAAGTGGAGTTAAAGGTGATTGTGAGCTGCCATATGGGTGCTGGGAACTGAACCCAGATACTCTGTAACCAGTGGTTTTAACAACTGAGCCATTTCTCCTGCCCCATCTATATATCTTTTATGATGAAGTGTTTGTTAAGGTCTTTGTACTGTTTTTTAGTGCATTTTTTTAAATTGTATTTTAACTTTTTTTTTTTCCTTCTGAGACTTAGTCTTACTATGTAGCTCTTGCTGTCCTAGAACTCACTCTGTAGACCAGGCTGGCCTCGAACTCACAGAGATCCACCTGCTTCTGCCTAAGTGCTGAAATTAAAGGTTTATGCCATTACAGCTCGCAAGATACGTTCTTTGAAAATGTTTTCTTGCAGCCTGTGGCTTTTCATTCTCTCTCTCTTTTAATAACTTACTTTTATTTTATGTACATTGGTGTTTTTATTTTTTTTATTTATTTATTTTTTTTTTTGTTTTTTGTTTTTTGAGACAGGGTTTCTCTGTGTAGCTTTGCACCTTTCCTGGATCTTGCTTTGTAGACCAGGCTGTCCTCGAACTCACAGAGATCCACCTGGCTCTGCCTCCCAAGTGCTGGGATTAAAGGTGTGCGCCATCATCGCCCGGCATACATTGGTGTTTTGCCTGCATGTATGTCTGTCTGTGTGAGAGTGGCAGATCTTGGAGTTACAGACAGTTGTGAGCTGCCATGTGGGTGCTGGGAATTGAACCCGGGTCTTCTAGAAGAGTAGTCAGTGCTCTTAACCACTGAGCCATCTCTTCTGCCCCGACTTTTCATTCTGTTTTCCAGAGCAAAATGTTTTAATGTGAAATCCAGTGCTTTTCTTCATGGACCATGCCTTGGTGTCTTATCTCTAAAGTCACCACCTGGCCAAGGTTGTGTTTTCTTATGTTATTTTCTAGGAATTTTATTCTTTTTAGGTCTGTGATGTGTTTTGAGTTAATTGGGATAGGAGGATGAGAGGAACATTCTGGGGATTGAACCCAGAGCTTTTTATATGCTAGGCAAGTACTTTGCCATTGAGCTATATCCCCAGGCTCACCTTCCAGGCTTTTCAAACATTTCTTTTCGTGCAGCTTTTCTCTCTTATCTACACCATGTAGTATAGATTGGCTTGAGACTTGGGATCTTCCTGGCTGAATCAACTGGCTGCATCCTTTTGCTCTACCTAGGTCGAGGTCATGGGTAGACAAGGAAGTCTTCTCGGGATGGTGTTGGGCAGCTTTTGTTTCCATCTCAAGTTTGGCAATAGTGAGAGGTAGCAGTCATCTGGCAGGAGCAGCAGCAGGTTTGTCCTCCAGTGTCCTGTGCAGGCTGTAGGTGAAAACCTGTGTTCCTCAGTTGGCTCTTAGGAGTCTTTAATCCATCCTCACCAACCAGTGTGACAACTCATAGCCCAGCGGTCTAACAGCCTACAAGACTTGACACTTCTCTGAAATTCTTCCAGACCAGGGCTTGAACTGCTCTTCTCTGGCCGACTTCTTAGAGCCTTTTTCCCTTTCCTTTTTTTTTTTTTTTTTTTTTTTTTTTTTTTTTTTGTTCTCTTTCTGCTTCTGTCCCTCTTTCTGCTTTGGCTGCTGGCTTGCCTTTTGACTTTCTCAACTGATGTTTCCTGCTCTGCTGTCTCTGCTGCTGCCTTCTTTACATTACCAGTTCAGCCCATACTACTGAAAGTTGGCAAGAAAAGACCACTTGAGGGGAGCCATTTATTGACTCTAATGTTGAAATACAACTAAGGTAGCACAGGAGAGGGTTTCCCACCTGACTTACCAAGTGAGCCTGAGCAGCCTGCATATATAGCCAGCAAAGGACCAGTCATAACTATGGGGCTTTTTAGCACTGTCATACCGTTACAGCCCCATTAGAGGAAGTGCTTCCCCTCTTTCCTACATGGAAATGGTCACAAGATCACCTAGATCAAGGCTTCAAAACTGGGTCATGACCTCACATGGGATGGTGTAACTGAATGTTGGCGGAGTTGAAAACAGAAGTTGTTTAAAAGGTTTTTGAACACCCAGTAACCAGAGAATTCAGGATTGAGTGCATAAATCTGAGATGTTTCTGGAAGCACCTATCCATGTTGCATGATAGGACTTCACTGTAGCCTTGGTTCTGAACACAGAACGTGCACTTTACACTGTGAAAGCCATCATGCTGTGGCAACACCAAACCACTACATGAAATAGTTTGTTCAGATTTGAGACTGTTGAGTTAGGACTTGTAGTGGTAGTTGATTTTCTTCCTTTTTTTTTTTTTTTTTGTGTATTTATGGAAATAATGCTGTAACTATGGAAAAGAAAAACTAGGAGTTTCTCTATTGTTATTCTCCAGGATATAAGTATCAATTTAATATAATTTTGGATCATATTATATTAGAATATTTGGGAGCCAGCAAGATGGGTCAGTGGATAAAGAAAAGTGCTTGTTGCCAATCATGATGACCTGAGTTCAATCCCCAGAACCCACATGGTAGAAGGAGAGAACCGAATCCAGTAAGTTGTCAATAAGTCAGTATTTTCTTTGGGCCTTCATCCTCCCAAATAAAGACAGGGAGACTTATTATTAATTATAAATGCTTGGTCTTAGCTTAGGCTTGTCCCACTAGCTCTTTTAACTTAATTTAACCTGTTTATATTCATCTATGTTTTGCCTTGGGTCTTTTACCTTTCTTTC